AGCAGGAATTTGAAACTGGGTCTCCCCCAGTAGTCCTAGGCAACGTTCCCTCTAAGCTGTGGAGTCTTGTGAGCAAAAATTCTACTTTATGAGCTACTAGCACTAAAGTTGTGAGCGAGCAATTCAGCTATTGCATAAATTAGTCTGCCCTGGAGCCCTCCTTCCTGAGCTAAGACAAAAATGTGTGAGCCGGAGGCTCAAAAACTGTGAGCCAGCTCACACTAACTCAGCTTAGAGGGAACACTGGTCCTAGGCCAACATTCTATCCACTCCTCCACTCTAGCAGGAGGGGGGGGGACCACAAATATATTATTAAAAGGGACCCCTGTAGATTATTTCGATTTGTAAACTGAGGTGCTCCAATGGGACTGGACTGTTGGACTACAAACCACACATCTGAAGCCTAACTTGTCCCTACATTTGGCACGCTGTTACCTCTCTATTCTGCCAGCTGTAAAATGGGAATAATACCATCCTCTACCACAATATGAGATTTCACGTGGGCTACCCTGAGTTCTCAACTTGAGCCGCAAAGGCCCTTACTGAAGGGTGGCCAAAGCACACTATTGACACAGGCAGACACGTACTTTCCTTCCTGATGAAAAAGGCCACAAGGAAAAGGGTCCCGTTCCCACGCTAAAAGAACCGCCCTCTTCCTTGAACAGCGGCGCCAGTGGCCAGGTGAACCACGGGGCCAGCTTTCCCACATACGCGCGCGCACACAACCCCTTCCACCACAGCAGTGGCCACCGGTGGCCACGAACCGTGAGACCAAAACGCATCTTAGTCAATGGGCACTTGGCCGGTACCTGCCACGAACAAAGGCCCGTCCCCCAAGATTCCATCCCATTGTCCCAAGATTCCATCACCCGTCAGCCTGACCAAGACACAGAACCCTGGACGGGCCGTGCAGCAGGTAGGAGCAGACGTGACTCACCACACCCAGAGAGTTCCAGCGGAAGAGGCGCCCCTGAACACATAGCCCTTTACCCTGCCCACCACCTCCCAGGCAACGAACAAGTTGTCTTTCCCTCCTACCGTGGAAAAGTAAATTGCTCCCCTCTGAGACCCCACTGCAGTGGACGGCTCCACGGGCAAGGATCCTGTGTTGGGGGGGGGGAGCTATACCCCACTGGAACTCCTCGAATACACATTTATGTCATTCATTGGTTTACTATATTTATAAAGGTAAAGGTAAAGGTTCCCTTGCTCGAAAGCCAGTCGAATCCGACTCTAGGGTTGCGGTGCTCATCTCCGTTTCAAAGCCGAAGAGCCAGTGCTGTCCGAAGACGTTTCCATGGTCATGTGGCCGGCATGACTAAACACCAAGGCGCACGGAACACTGTTACCTTCCCACCGAAGTGGTACCTATTTATCTACTTGCAATTTCTTGCTTTCAAACTGCTAGGTTGGCAGGAGCTGGAACTAGAGACAGGAGCTCACCCCGTCTTGCAGCACCCGGGTCTCGAACTGCTGAACTACTGACCTTCCACAGCCTGCAGTTCAGCGTCTTAACCACTTGAGCCACCGCAGCTCCCATATTTATAGCTCAGCTCAAAGTGGATCTCTTGCCGTTCAAGCCAATGCAATCAACATAAAAGCCCTCTCCCCCTCCACACACACACCCATCCGCCACAACGGCAGGGGGTACTCGGCCGGTCGATGAAGGGTGACTTACATTCCGTGCTCCCCGTAGTAATTGTAGAACTCCATGTGGTTACACGCCTGGATCCAGCCCACGATCCAGGTCTCTTTCTTGAGGATCGGCGGCATCAGCACCTGAGCCGAGGCCCGGAAATGGGGCGTCCGGTACCTCAGAACCACGCTGGACGACTCGTCGATGTTGGTGGGGACGGGGTCGATGGAGGCTTTGACGTCGACGACGGAGATACTCTCCCGAATGCCTTTGGCTTTGCAGCTAATGCTCTGGATGCAACCCATGGCCCCCAACACCAGGACAATCCCCAAAACACTCCAGCAGTCCTGAGGGGGGGCAGGCATGGACCTGGGGCGGCACGGCGGCAGCCTCAGATCCCCTTCATCTGGCCTCTCCAAACCGATATCCATAGGATAGAAAATGCATCCTGGAGAAAGTTTTCAGGGGTGCTGATTTGACCTGAATGCAGGCAGAAGGGCTGCCCAGTGGGCGGATTCCACCAAGCTAAACTTGTAGGTGCCTCTTTTTTTATCCAACTCTCCCGGTCGGGACAGTTGAAAAAGTCTCTCAAATATTCTTGGAGGAGGGAAACTTTGATATAAAAGGGGAAAGGCCGGAGTTCAATAAATAATTACCACGTGGCGCGGTCTTGCTCGTTTTCTCTGACAACACGAGCCAAACTTCCCTTCCTTCCCAAAAAATCGCAATCCGCTGTTTACTCCCAAACAAAAACTGGCCTTGTATTCCCTTGAATTTTCTTTGGATTCTTTAAAAAAATCTTCCTTTTAAAGCAGGACGCCGACAGTTTATATGAATAAGGGATCCACCACTCTCTTCCCCCCCCCTTCCCCTTTTCTTCCTTTGCCCTCAGCTTCTCGCTGTCCGCGTGGAGACTCAGCTTCCTGGCTTCCAGTCATTCATAACTTCCCCTTGGTAGAAACAAAGACAAAAAGGATATTTATTTTAAAAAAAAAACTTGCAAAAATAAAAGGAGAGACCGATAAGGTTGAACAGACACATATACACTTTTCCCCTCTGGGCTTCCAAAAGACGTCACTGATGTTATAAGGAAACACAGCGACGGATAAATAATAAATCACAGGGTTTTGCCGCACATCAAAATTGCCTTTTTGCATTTAAAAAGAAAAATCTAGGCAAAATGGGGAGGGGGGGTGTTTCAGAGCGGTCTTCCAGTGGAGAGTCTTGTGGCACCTTAAAGATGAACTGATGTCCTGTGACCACCTCTGAGGTCCAGTGCAGTGTTCCCTCTAAGCTGAGTCAGTGTGAGCTAGGTCACAGTTTTTTAGCCTCCGGCTCACACATTTTTGTCTCCGCTCAGGAAGGAGGGCTCCAGAGCAAACTAATTCACTGCAGCAGCCAAATCACTCACTCACAACTTTAATGCCAGATAGCTCACAAAGTAGAATTTTTGCCCACAAGACTCCATGGCTTAGCGGGAGCGCTGGTCCTGCGGCAACCTCTTTCGTGGGCCCGGTGACAAGCTGCTTTTCAGGACATGGGTGCTGGCCCACAAGACCCAAGTGCCCAAAATGGGTTTGCCAGCTCTTTGGGATGCCACTGGACTTTTCTCCTGGTCCTGATCTCACAGACTGACACAAACAGCCCTGCTGGAATGTGTTGCTTCCAAACATTAGCCCCCTTTAACCCGCCCCACCCCCAAGCATCCATCCCCAAGCCAATGCTCTGAATGAGAGATCCACGGAAATCAATCAATGAGGAATCCCCGGATCTCTGGAAATCAATCAGCTAGGCTGGAGGGGTGTCCTTTTCCTCCGGCCTGCTATCGAACAGGCCACAACCCCCAATTTCCTTCTTCCCTTTCCTGAATGCTGACTCTTGAGTAAAAGAGAGGACAATAACAACCGATAAAATGAGCAGCAGGGATGAGATCTATTCCAAGCCGTTCCTTCCCAACTCTGCCTTCCCAGTATTTTACTCAAACGCTCCCCTTTATTTCCCCCTCTTCTGGCTCACACCCGGGGAGGAAGTCCAATGGGCACGATCCGGCGGGGTTAGATCCAGTGCTCCCTCTAAGCTGAGTTAGCGTGAGCTAGCTCACAGATTTTTAGCCTCCGGCTCACACATTTTTGCCTTAGCTCAGGAAGGGAGGGCTCCAAAGCAAACTGATTGATGCAGCAGCCCAATCGCTCGCTCACAACTGTAGTGCCAGTGGCTCACCAAGTAGATGTTTTGCTCACAAGACTCCACAGCTTAGAGGGAACACTGGCTTAGATCCCTTTGCAGAGGTTTCCGCGTGTTTAACCCCGGCCTCACCCACGAGCATGGATGCGGGGACGGCTCGCTAGAGAGACAGACTGTCCTGTCCGTCCCCTGCCCGGCGGGGCTCCCTTACTTTCCAAGGCGCCAGCTCTCGGCCCCCTCCGGGGTGGGGGGTGTCTCTCTGAACAGGGAAGGGGAAAAGACCCCCCGAAAAAGTTCCGCCGCAACTTTCGCCCCTCTTTTTCCCACGCCGGGAGAAGCGGCCGAGGCTGCAGACCCCCGCCGCCCGCTCTGCCTGGCTCCCTCCCGCACCGAACGGCGCACCGCACAATCGCCTCTCCGTGACATCTTCGATGACACCCACCTGGGAGACGCGGACGCGGCGACGGGCGGGGAGACGAAGAGGGGCATCCCCGGCCAGCAGTGTCCCCTCTAAGCCGAGTCAGTGTGAGCCGGCTCACCGTTTTTTAGCCTCCGGCTCACACATTTGTTGTCTCCGCTCGGGAAGGAGGGCTCCCGGAGCAAACTTAATTAATGCAATAGCCAAATGGCTCGCTCACCACTTTAACGCCAGCGGCTCACCAAGTAGAATTTTTGCTCGCAAGACTCCACAGCTTAGAGGGAACATTGCTCCAAACCAATGTTCCCTCTAAGCTGAGTCAGTGTGAGCCAGCTCACCGTCTTTTAGCCTCTGGCTCACCCATTTCTGTCTCCGCTCAGGAAGGAGGG